GACTCAGAAATGCAGATTACACAGTGGCATTGCCACGCACTGCCACAAAGGCATCAAATACAACAATCTTCAGTGATCTTGGTGCATAGTAATTGTGCTGGAATTGAGGTAAAGCAGGTGATGTTATATGGGGATAATTTCACCGAGGTTTTCAGTGCTGCTAATAACTAATTATTGTGATATGTTTTTTACAAAAATATACACACTTTTTAATGATAATGAATACGTTATTTTTATATGATCATATCGATGATCATCTTTAGGTAGCCTAAAAGTCAATTTTAAAAGACTAATTCTTGAGTCCATAGTAAACCCATAGTAAGACTTTGTTATTGACTCTTTTTATGTGTTTTGGGGTATAAATTGATATTATTGAACTTGACTTGGAGGCTAAGGGGGAAGCCTCATCTGGGACCGAGGTTCCATTACCAGGAATAGATGTGTAGAGGTTGAGCCGCTCCATTTCTGTCTATTATTTGATATTTAGGAGATAAAAACTAAAAAAGAAGTCTGTTCGACTGACAATTTTCCACCGCATACTTTGATTTTTCAATGTTTGTCGAGCCAGGTAGTGCTATCGGGGGCCACCCACGGCTCCAATTTTGGCTAATTCAGCAGGAATCTGCCAAAATTCAAGCCTTGTATGGCCAATATTAATAACAGTATAAGTAAAGTTCAAAAATAAAAAAATTGGCAGGAGGTAGAGATTTTTGGCAGAAGAGACATGCAAAGCCTCTTATGCCCAAAATATCTCCTGATCTCTCCTCCACTGCATGCACACACTCAGCCCATATACAGCATCGCTAAGATGCTGTAAATGGGCCTGGTGCTGGGGAAGATGGTAACTTCTGTGCGCAGGCATCACCATCAATGGCCACCATATAGCTGCATCATCAGTGGCCACCCAACGGGCGTATCATCAGTGGCCACCCAACGGGCGTATCATCAGTGGCCACCCAATGGCCGCATCATCAGTGGCCACCCAATGGCTGCATCATCAGTGGCCACCCAATGGGCATATCATCAGTGGCCACCCATTGGCAGCATCATCATTGGCCACCCAATGGCGTATAATTAGTGGCCACACAATGGCTGCATCATCAGTAGCCTCATCATCAGTGGCCACCTAATGGCCAAAGAGGACTTCCGAGAACCCAGAGATGGCTGAGTGCTGAGGACGGAAGATCAATCCGACAGCGCTGGAGAAAGGCACACTTGTAAGGTGAGGGTGCCTTCATGTGCAAGTATACTGTGCATACTTGCACATTAGGGCAAAAACAAAAATTACAAAGCAGTTTAAGTCTGTTTTAACTTCTGCAGAAAAATTAGGTCTCCTGTCCTGCCAGACAGAACTGTGTGGTCTCAGAACTGGATGGACAGAAATACAACTCCGTTCAGCTTGAATAAAATGCTCAGCACTTTTGGAACATTATATGATATGCTTACTGATGAATTTGTCAGACATTTACAGTAGAGAAATATAATGAAACATGATCTGATGGGTTATATGTTTCCTCTTAATTACTGGCCTTCTCTCTTATACAATGCAGGGAGCCATCCCCGTTTTCCTATCCTGGGTGGTGGGGTTGTAGAGTATTGAAATAATTTGTGTGTCACCTTTGCAGGGGGAATTTCACCCTTCCATCCCCAGCCCTCCACTCTGTCTCCCTGCTATTCTCCTGCTGCGATCTCAGCTGTCATATCTGAACAAGGCATTTTTAAGCCTGGGGCATGCCACACATTTGCTATATTTTTCCCATTTTTTTTTTTTTTTCCTGCACAAAACACATTTTCCGCTACACTGCACACGAACTTAGTGAGGAATTCGAGAGGTAAAAGTACAGTAAACCTTTCGTTGCCCCCATTATTTTTGCTGTTTGCCGGCAGAAGGTAATCTGAAAATACATTTACGGCTCTTATTCAATTATAATAAAATTCTTATAAGGGAGTCAGATTATTTAATAGCTCGAATCATTGAATATTCCAGATAACTGGACAGCAACATAATAAACAAGAACAGCAAAGTCCAATGACTTGTAGCTAGTAGTCTCACAATGTATCATCCCACCAAAACCCAACTGTAGTCAGCGATCATTCTATTTCCAAACCCCCCTAGTTTATGGGTTAGGCAAAGGGTACCAAAAAGTCAATGAGCAAGTCTTTACCCACTTAGGATAAATAGGACAATAGGATGAAATACTGTTACATGATAGAACGTGTTTCCAAACTCGCCAATGGCCTGGTGATGCTTTAAGCTGAGTGGTGAGATATTCAGTTATAGACCCACCATGTGAAAAATTGCCATTAACCCAAATGTTTTTGGTGGTGAAGAGTGCATATTATTCTTGGTGAGCTTCTATAATTGGTGGTGTGACTATTAATGCTGTAGGTTTCTGAACTGAGCTGAAGAAGCCACTTGGATGAGTGGTGGAATGTTTTTAACATTACTAAACAAACCCAGTTGAATGTGATGGCTACTATCTATACCATGACCTGGATAAATGAGGACCTGAACAGACGGTCTCAATACTTGTCTTTTGCCCTTCAATGAGGTGTCTTGTATGGCTCTTCACATGTTCACTAGAACCAACATGTTTACCAGGCCCAATAAAGTGGATAGTACTATTCACTGGTGGTTATTCAGAGTCAACAATGGCCTTCTGATGATCAGGGCTACTTATATGTGCCTGGGCTGCAAGAGAGGATCCAACACCTCTGTTTTACAGGCTTTGTTTGAACTGTGCTTTCAACACTCTGCCCATAGAGAACTTACTAAGGGAAATTGATTAACATGGATGTGATACCGTGGATATCTACTTACCAGAGTTACCATCTCTACCCCAATATATGTACAGTGGGGCAAAAAAGTATTTAGTCAGCCACCAATTGTGCAAGTTCTCCCACTTAAAAAGACGAGAATCTTATCTTACAAATGGCCCATTATTAAAAAAAAACAACAGCTTTTCCAACTTCACTACTGGAATACCCTTAAGGGCTTGTTCACACCATGTCTGGATCATATCCAGACCAGAACAGTTTGTTCCCGGGACCAAAAGAGCATCGCAATGTATCCCCATGGTATTTCTGGGCTCTGTTCACACCAGCACAGTCTGTTCCGGATCAGACAAAAGACAATACTGCTGGTCTCATTTTCTCTGGTCTGGAATGCACTGGAACGCATGAAAATGCATACAAACACACTGGACCACACCTGAAAGCCCATTTAAAGCTGAAAAAAACCAGCTCTGGAAATCGTCGTAAAAACGCAGTAAAACGAAATGCACCATGTTAAAGATCTGGTCCAGAAAATGGTGTGAACCTAGCCCTAAGCCACCAAGATGTCTTCTACCGCGTTCAAAAAAGCTAAAAAATCTGGTGATAACATAGCCCAAAAATATTCTCATAATTTCTTTTTAAAGGAGAACTATGAAGTGAGTGATTTTCACTCAACCTCATACACTGTTTCCCTGAAAATAAGACCTACCCCGAAATGAAGACCTAGTACCATTTTTGGGAATTGCTAAAATATAAGACCTACCCCGAAAATAAGACCTAGTTGTGACCATTTCCAGGGCCGGTAGCGACATAAGGGGGAACCTGAAGAGCTGCGGGAGAGAGTCAGAGGTGCCAACAAAGGCAGCGCTAGAGGAAGCGAGGCGGCAGCGCAGGGAGCAGAGCCGCATGAGCCGATGTTTCCTCTATAGCGCCGACTCCTGTCACAGGCGGAGTGATACCAAATGCGTTCTACCTGTGAGGAATCTATAGTGAACGTGCGCTTTGCTTATTCTGGTTACCAAATGGCTCTTGGAAAGGTATGGCACCCTTGATTGTCCTGATCCTCCTATTCTTAACTTTGCCATTTTGGATTATTTAATTTGGATTTGCATTATCTTTGGATTAATATACATTTTTTTTTAAAATAAGACCTACCCGAAAATAAGACCTAGTGTGTTCTTTTGAGCCCCAAAAAATATAAGACAGTGTCTTATTTTCGGGGAAACACGGTAGTTCGAGCCGACGTGTGACAATGGCTCTATAGATTGGGAAGTGATCGCACGCATACCGTCGCTTGCTCACTTTCCGATCATCTCCCTACAGAGAGCGGTGACTGTCAGTCCCCGCTCCCCGCATGGATTCCCCCCTGCCCCGCTCCGACCCTCCAGCGCTGAGTGGAGGAACAGATGGGGGAGGGGCGAAAGCAGCTGGCTCTGCCTCTAGATAGGCAGAGCCTGCTGTCACTCAAGCAGCTGGGCGGATCTCGACAGCATTGTCGGGTTCCGTCCTGGCTGTGGCGATCTCGGTATATAGTGAGCAATAGCTCACTATATACTCAGCTTTGGGTCATGGGAGGACATTAGTATATGTCCTCCCATGACCCTTAAGAGAACTATGGGATAAAATGGTTACCCCATAGTTCTCTTTTAATATAATTTTTATAGTCTTGTTTTCATTCTTTTTTACTCAGAAATGCCTTAAAATACCTTTTGTAACCTTTTCTTAACCTTTTTACTTTTTTTTTGTGGAAATACACTTTCTGGCCTCCCACTCTTGACATAACTGAGTTACAGCTACATCCTTTATTAAAGGCAACCTTACACAGAGGGGTCGCTTCTGACCAGATCAATTAGAGTGCACTTGACAGATTGGTCAAACTCGAATGCCTATTGGATTGTAGAGTAATTTTTACCGCAACTGCTATAACAGATAAGTAGATGGTATACCAGAAAAATGGCAGGAGCCAAGAGCTTCTATTTACCCTTTGATGGCTGTGGCACAAAGGGCACATCCTTGGCACTTAAAGAATCACAGCACGTGGAAGCATACATGCGATTTTATTTCCGTCAAATGATTTGGAAGCGATTGATAGATACTTCTGCAGCATGTAAAACTAAATGACTACATGAATGACTAACAAGGTAGACAATGTGTGTACGCGCTCCTTGAAATAAACATTTAATAATGGTTGTGTTCTGTTCTTTTCATTTCCATTCTGTCCACAGAGACTGCATTTGCCTCCAGACTTGTCAGACACAGTGAGCCGCTCAAGCAAACAGGATGTGGCAGGATCGGCCAAATTGCTGAGCTCAGGATGTGGCACTGCAGCCGTAGGCAAGAAGCACCTGGACTTCTAGTGATTTCTACCGAGACGATACGTTTGCAAACGCAGGAGGCACTAACATCATCATTATTATTTACTGACTCTCTTTTTTTATATGCAAAATTCTGGATACACTTAGTAAACATAATATTGTTATAACAAAACTGTCTGATCTTTTACTATTCTGTGTTCCTACAAGTGAGAAAAAATTGTTTCATTTAAAGTTCTACCTTTAAAATGTATTTTCACCTTTGCAGGCAAGTTTGGGAAAGTCCCACTGTATTTTTGTTCCCTTCCACAAAGCATAACTAAAATAATAAAAACTAAATATTTCTTACCTTTCTAGTTATTTATTTGTAGCCGGTTCATACATAGGACTTTATAGGCAGCCAGCTTCTATTGCTTAAGCTAGCCATACATTTATAGATTTTCTCTCATCAACCTGCGGGCTGAACAAGAGAAAATCACTTGATTCCATAATAAACAGCACAGATGGAGAAATCTCCAGCCCGTGGGCTGCTTTAGTGCCCAATCAGTGACTAAATCTGATCAGGTCACTGTTTGGCCGAGAATTTTCCACCCTGCTCAAGCATTTTTTTTTAAAGTCCATTGACATACAATGTACCACCCAAGCCTTGAGATTTTTGACCCTTTGTTAGTACTATAGGCAGCCCTGCACTATCTGGTTTATCATCTGATAATAAAGCAAGTAAAATGTAAGCAGCAAGTTTTCAATGTTAATTTAAAGTAAAATGTAAGCAGCAAGTTTTCAATGTTAATTTAAATTTTAACTCCACTTTAAAAAATGAAAACCAAAAATCTTTAAAAAATTCATATAATATTTAACACAAGCCATTTTGTATTTTAATGTTATTAAAATGTATCTTTCCATATAAAACTGTAGCTGCTGTAATGTTCTAAATCTATCCAAAAAAAAATGAAATGCAATATGGCAAAACTGGAGGCGTTCCATACACAGTTGGTGTACAGAACTCCCTAAGAAATGTCACCTCCCGGAAGTCTGCACTAAGATGCAACTATAATGTTTGGCATCTCTTGCAATAGGAATTTCATTTTTGGTGAGATACTTCCTAAGGGTTAATTACTACTAAAGGGATGCCGACACTGCACTTTTCCCTATTACAACACAAGAAGCCCACCAGCTGTTTAATAACCTAGACCCTCCCACTCAGGAATCAGTTTGGAAAGGACATACTGCAACAAACAGCTTTTTCTTCAAAACAGAAACGGGTAGGAAACTGCAACAAAGTTAAAATCCTTGTAATGTACACAGATCTCCCAGAGAGGATTGATTTTTTTTTTCCCCTAAACAAAAGTAGAAGTGATGGCATGTGAATGGTAAAATAATATATACAAAGTAGGTGTTATTCCAGTTTGGCTGCAAAAGTGGAAATACATGTTAACCCAGTTTTCCATGACTCCCCTCCTCTACATTTAAAAGAATTTTACAATAAGGCCACATTCACACTAGAAACAGCCGGCACATACAGCTCCGTGCTGCGTGCACGGCTGTATTGGGCAGCTCCCCAGGAAGGACAGGTGCTCCGTGTGATTAGTACGCAGCCTGTCCTTCTCTATGGGACTACGCGGCCATACGCCCCCCTACGCTCACCTCAAGTGCAGGTCCGTACGGGTGTGGGTGCCTCGGCTTCATCGCAGACAGGATCCATCCTGTCAGCGTACGAGTATGGTCGCCCACACGGACGTGCAGGGCGGGTGAGCGTAGGGCGGCGTAGTCCCATAGAGAAGGACAGGGGTTGCGTACTAATCACACGCAGCACCTGTCCTTCCCCGGAGCTGCCCGATACGGCCGTGCACTCAACCCGTGTGAATGAGCCCTAAGAGTCTGGCCATCTGCAGATGTCCCAGCATAATTTTCTGTGGACTCACTGGGCATACTGCTCGTGTCTGGAATTTTTAAAAATCCTGATCAATTGTTTTGGGAATGAAAAATAATGCTCAAGTCCCTCATCCACACTAAGCAGCATAGATAAGGGAATTCGCTACCTCCACCCCCTGCTAGGCTATTGTAGTGGTGGGTGTGCCACTGTCAGAATACCGAGCAATGACTGCAGCTGACTGGCTGCAGTCAGTGGTCGGCCAAGAACTTTTGAGCCAGCTCCTTCAAACAAAAGTTGATTGAAAAATTGTCTTTTGCCGAACAGAGAGGTGCTGACGAGGCCGCACACTACTCAAATTCCGGCTGAATGTATGGCCAGGTATAGAGACATACTGCACATTACTAGGGAAAGGAAAGGAATGGGGGGGAAAGTTGTGGTCGTGTTGTTTTTAAGACCATGCTGGGAAACCCTGTGTGCATTTAATACAGAAACTGAAATCAGAGCATTTTAGCAGTCAAGGGGAAATCTGTCTGAGATGTCGGAAAATGGGAATGTTTCAATACAGGAGGCCCTACACAATAGAATGTATGAATTATGGTGTGAATGGAAATACTGGATTTTGTTATAAATGAGGAGCTGTAGAAATCTTCTTTTTTTTTTTATACATCTTCATTGTTTTAACAAGAAATAGAAAATACAACTTACAAAAAAGAAAACAAAGGAAACAATCCGTTAACAAGAGGGGAGAGGGATATGAATACACAACACATTGATAACATAAGAGCAAAAATAGGGCAATATTCAAAAAATACAAAGCAACTTTAATGTCAAGAGGGAAAAACACTAGCCCCTAGATAAAAAGCAGAGGGCCATCCTAACTTAAGGCCTCATAGCTTTTGGGATTTCAATGGCTTGGATTAGCAATTTCGGGTTTTTTCTGGTTTAGAATGGCTCAGCTATGGATTTTCGAACAGTTAATTCTTCCACATGTGGCGGACTTTTAACAGGAAAATACAGTATGGTTCATTATAAGAGCTCTTTTTGTCACTGAAGAATTTGTTGGTTTGCCGATATTAAATTGTACATGTTTATGGCCAGTTTAATTTGGAATTCTCCTTTAAGTGACCTACACCAATGCAATTTTTAAAAGTATTTAATACGGATGCACTGATACTATTACTAGTAGCCAGGGGCGTATCTGCCGCGAGGCAAACAAGGCGTTTGCCTGGAGCGGCAGATTCGCTGAGGGCGGCGTTGAGAACACTGGCAATCAGGAAGCCGGGCGATGGGTCATGATCTGCCGCCGGACTTCCTTATAATCGGGGTACACAGCACTCGTTATCGGCGAGTACTGAAAAAAGATATCGGTACTCATACTCGACACCGAAAATACGGTATCGGTGTAATTGTTTACCAATTTGTAAAGTTCAGTCTTCACCAAGTGCCCTGTTTATCTAACGTACGTCCTTATGTGTTTTCATTTATTGCCTTTACTGGTTAAATCCAAACTCTGGGATGAGCAAATATTGTCTAAATACAAGAGTCATGTGTATTCTTCCTTGAAGAGCTTGGTGAGCTTTGTGTATTTCTTCCAGATCTGTGCAGTAATCCTGTGTGAAACTTTGTTTCTGTGTAGGAGCTTCCCGTAATAAATACCGGTCTCAGCTCCACTCGCTCCTTGTGCAGGGTGACTGGTCTTGCCTCCGCCCCCTCATGTAGTTTTCTGCAGCCTGTAGTAGGTGGAGCCTTCTTCCCACAGCTCTGCTCTCTGCACAGGCTATGTACAGCACAGTGATAATTTCACCACAACTGTTGCAAGGTTAAGGTGGGTCACACAATGTTGGATAAAACTATTGGTGTCCGAAGGTCAACTTTTAAGCAAAACATTTCATCCACATTTTTTGTTTTGAGTAGGCTGGGGAAATGTTAGTTTTCATCAGGTTCCTATTAATACCTGAGACCTCACTTTCTGTCCCTGAGACACCCGTGCGATAAATGGAGGATGCGGGGATTGTCACCAGGAGAGGAGGACGATTAAGCATGCACTCAGCTTCACAACGGAGGCTGAACCTCAAGGACAAAAGTCATGGATCACGAATGTGTTTATTGTTCGTAGAGATGTATGTCCAACGTGTTTCAGGGCAGTTACAGTGTCCCCTTCATCATGACAGTTTAGATGGAACTGATGCTACTATAACAAATATTCAAAACCCATTATATATTAAAGAAAGTCCCTTTGTATAGGTAACAATATTTCACAAATGATTTGGACCCTACAGAATGTCATTCTTTATGGGCAAATCGATCTATATCTTTATCTCTACTTAGCAATATAAACCCTTGCCCATTCCATCCAAATTGAATGAAACCTTTAAAGCTGCATTTGGGCTTCAACTGTGTTAAAATGTTTTCAGGCAAACCCTTTGCATAGGTAAAATATTCCCATATATGTTCTGAATATAAGTTTACATCTGCTGAATTCCACCATTGTTATCATGAATATAATAAAGGCAGAAGTACGGCTTGGACCTGCCAGAGGAGCCCCCGGGGCTGCATGTACCACAGAGCTGAAAACACTGACCTTAACCATTGGTGTTCTTTATCTCATAGAGACGCTCCACAAGAAGCATTGTGTCTGTTGCTGACCTGGCTGTAATTAGGGAGAAGCTGTTTAGATATTCAAGTATTAAAAAAATAAATCAAATGACAAGGCAGTGAATCAGATATAACACTCACTCTACCTGTTCACACATTTGAGGCCATCCAATAAGGCAAAGTGCAATAGCCCTCTGTATCCAATCAGACGTAATCTTTCACTGTCAGAATCCGGTGAAATAAGATCCAAGCTCGCTCTTATGATGGACTACAATCTCACGTTTAGTTTACTAATATGTATTGAGATTGTAGCCCATCACGGGAGTGAGCTTGGAGCGGTGGCTACTTTACAACATACGCAGAGACCATGTGGAACAAAAGTAGCCACACTCCTGAAGCAAGGACAGTGTCAGCACCAATTCAGAGATGATTTGAGGATCTACAGCCGACTTATACACAAACACATAGGTTTTGTTAATAGTTAAGGTACTTGGATGCATTTTTAAGATTTAATTCCTGATTTTAGTGTCACTTTGTACTGATTGTACTGTCTGTGCAGTAATAAGTAGGTGCCGATATCAATCTCATGGTGTCTGCATTTGGTTCACACAACGTATGGGTGCCAGTTGGGGGTAATACTCCAGTTCCGATGTTAGTTGGGGCGA